TGAAAAGCCTCTGCCGATCAGGCAACTCAGCTGGGATCGTCGAGGCTTTTCAAAGCATTTTTTTTACCACCTCTTCGGCCAAGAGGTTGCAGAAAAAAATGCTTTGAAAAGCCTCTGACGATCCCAGCTGAGCCACGTGATCATCAGAGGCTTTTTTTTTTAACTTCATTTTTCCATCAGAAGAGGTTGTAGAAAAAATGCTTTTAAAAGTTAAAAAAAAAAAGCCTCTGATGATTGTGCTGCTCAGATGGGCATGGTTGGGGGGGGGAGCAGGGATTTTTGCTACTGGTTCTTCAAACCACCTGCCGCCATCGCTACCGCATCGGGCAATCCAGTCCGAACTGGGAGCATCTCACCCCTGCTGTGTACATACATTCCAGTATTCTCATGGTTATATGATTAAAATTCGGCATGCATTTACAAAGGATGCAGCATCCTGGAGTCATGCGATCGCCAATTGCAACCTTCCCAGCTGACTTCTGCCAAGCAAAATCAACTGGGGAAGCTGGATTCACTTAATGACTACACGATTCACTTAACAACTGCAGTGATTCGCTTAATATCCATGGCAAAACAGGTGTAAAATCGGATGCCACTCCCTAACAACTGTCTTGCTTACCAACATAAGTTCAGGTCCCAATTATAAGTTGAGGTGGTCCTCAATTTATAACCATTCATTTAGTGACCGTTTGAAATTACAATGGCACATAAATGATCATAGCAGCATCCCCCTGGTCATGTGATTGAAAGTCTTACTTTTGGCATCTAGACTCATGTTTATGACAGTTGCAGTGTCCCGGGGTCATGTGATCACCTTTAGTGACCTTCTGACACGCAAAGTCAATGGGGAATCCAGATTCACTTAAAAGTTGTGTTACTAACTTAACAACTGCAGTGATTCACTTAACAACTAGGGGCAAGAAAGATTGTAAAATAGGGCAAACTCATTTAACAACTGTCTTGCTTAGCAACAGAAATGCTGGTCTCAAGCATGGTTGTAAGTCAAAGACTACCTGTATGGTTGCAAATTGAGAATTACCTGTATGTACTTTATGGGAATTTTGCACACACACATTTATTCTTGAAACAAAATCGACAGCAAGATCTCCTTTGTTCAGCCTGCAGCCTTCCAGACTCATATATATACCAGTGGCGATAGACTTTGAAACCCTGCCCTGCCTTTCCTGTATTGACAAATCAAACAAGGAGATTTAAATCTGATTTTACTTCCCCAAGACACATAAGGAGTGGCCCAAACAGAAATTACTTTTTAAAGGGCATTGATTTTTTTCTCCCCCTTTTTTATGAAGTTGCATGTGTCAATTATTTGCAGTTTTGGAATCAAAGCTCTATGCTTAAAATAGATAAAGTTGTTTTAGAAGAGGGACTTTCAACCTTGGGCACTTTTAAGTCTTGTGGGCTATGCTGGTTGAGCAATTCTGAAAGTTGAAATTCATAAGTCTTAACGTGCCCAAGGTTAGAGATTCCTATTTTAGAACATAAGATAACAGTTTGTTCTGATTAGTGCCTGGAAGGAACATTCTACAAACTTATTGAGTACAGTTTTCAACCAAGGCATTTACATGGTTTATTTTAAAGATTTTTTAAAAAAAAGATATAACAAGAATGAAAACACTTAGCAAGTACGCTTGGAAATGGAATGGGCTGTGAATATGACAGCTGTTTGAACCAATCAGTTGTTTTTCTTTTCGAACATTAATTGCATGCACAAATTCCATTGGTTGGAAGGCTTTGGGACAACCACCTACCTAGTGAAACTATTAGTAGCAATGATTGAAATCCTGCTCCTCCAGTAGCTGCTATTACTCAAAGCAATCTAATGATTACTGACAATTCTTAGATGGTTGAGATACAGGATGCCACAGACAAAAATACTTCCCATATAGAAGCATGCCTTTCACAAAGCAATAATTTTAGTACCTTCGTATTATGCATTCATTCGTTATAGAGCTCCCCATTTCACATACATGACTCTAGGCGGCTCACACACTTAAAAAACAACACAATAGTTTTATTTATTTTTTTCCCAATAATTTTTATTAATATATTCTATACACCAATACACAAATAAAATATACAATCCTGCCACCATGGTATAATGTGATTACCTTGTCCATAAATATAAAGTCATTCCTTTATACATACATACTTGCCATCATATATATACATCATCATATATCTATTCTATCCCACCTTTTCTGGACCCAATTGTACCATAATTTCCAACTGTTATTAAATTCTGAATCTTTTTTACCATTGATCAATCTAGTTAATCTATCTGATTCCGCACACTCATTAATTTTATATATTATTTTCAAAGCCATCGGTAAGTATTGATTTTTCCACTCCTCCGCATACGCTAATCTTGCTGCAGTAATAATATGAATCAACAGGAAGCATATATCTGATTTAACATTCAAAGGTTTTACCCCAATAGGAAAATCTCGGGCCTTAATTCCAAATTAATCTGTGTAATTTCCAAAAACCGTTGCCGTATTTTTTTCCAATATTTAACCGCCTGCGGGCAGGTCCACCATTGGTGAAAATAAGTTCCATTACTGTAACTGCACTTCCAACAGCAGGCAGATGTCCCGGGAAACATTTTAGCTCGTCCCGCAGTGGGGAGATGCCACCGGTAGACCATTTTATATATGTAAAAAACAACACAATAGTTTTAGATAAACAACTAAAATGAAAACCATTAAAAATGCCAATTAAAACTTAATTTGCAGGGGTGTAATTTGTTTTTACTAGTTTTCATTGTGCTGTAGCTTCAGTTTCTTTCAATTAAGTCATTCCCATCTATCACAACTCTGGAAGTGTGCCTTCTCTGTTGTGGCACCTGCCCTGTGAAATGTGATTATTCACAAAATCTGGGCTGGTCCCATTCTGAAAAGCTTAAAACTTGACTCTTCTCCAAGGCTTTGGACGAGGCTGGTTGGAGTCCTGGGTTGGGTGCAGGATATATTTGTTGTTAACTGGATTTGCCATCTTGGTTTATTGGTTGCTTTATTTTTATGCTGTGAGAATAGGTGGATTGAATAAATAACAAGGTGTTGCATTTTTATTTAGAAAGACGACTGGAATAGAGCGACTTTTGGGCTAACGTTTCCCTTCTGAGAGCATCCTTCTGACTTTATCTGCATCAATGGGGCAGTGTAGCTCCTTTTCAGGAGAAATCAATAAACAAACATGGGTTGTTCCTCGATTTATGACCTGTCATTTAGTGACTGTTTGAAGTTATGACCGACTGCCCCAAGAATATTTATGACCTGGTTCCAAAGTTTAGATGGCTGCTGCCTGGTCATGTGACTACATTTTGGCAGCTGGCCCATATTTATGGCCATTTGCAGTGACCCACAACTATGTTTGGTGAAATTTTCACAGAAATCAGCATTTACTCCTGATTTTTGGCAAAATTGCCCTATAAGTGAACAATTTGTTTGCTTAACGACCACCGCAAAAAAAAAAAAGGTTGTAAAAAGAGGTGGATCAGGTGGGTGATCCACTTTACAAATGTCATGACTTATAACCATAATGTCATAAGTTGTTATGTCCATTACAGTCATAAGTCAAAGATCTCCTGTAGTTCTTTCTTTTCCTCCATCCTTTCCCCTGGAAATCTGAGCAATGCTGAAAAGGAAGAGCTGGGGGTTCTGACCTCCCCTGGGTCTATGTGTAGAGTTACTAATGTGCATTTCATATTTTTGAGAATAACACATATACCTATAATAGAAAGTTTTAATACTGGGAGGGAGGGAAAGAAGGAAGGAAGGAAGGAAGGAAACGAATGATGGAGGGAAGGAGAGTGAGGGGGAGAGGGGGAGTGGGGGAGGGAGGGAGGGAGGGAAGGACAGAGAGGGGGAGAGAGGGAGAGGGAGAGGGGGAGTGGGAGGGAAGGAAGGAAAGAGAGAGAGGGGAGGGGGAGAGAAGGGGAGAGGGGGAGGGAGGGCAGAGGGGGGAGGGGGAGAGAGGAGAGGGGGATGGAGGGGAGGGGGGAGAGAGGGAGAGTGGGAGGGAGAGAGTGGGGAAGAGAGGGAGAGGGGGAGAAGGGGAGAACGGGAGGGAGAGGGGAGGGAAGGAGGGAAGGACAGAGAGGGGGAGAGAGGGGGGGAAGGAAGGAGAGAGAGGGGGAGAGGGAGAGTGGGAGGGGGAGAGCAGGAGGGGGAGGGGAGAGGGGGAGAGAGGGAGATAGAGATAATGAATGAGAGCTGTAGTACAACATCCTACTGAAGTCCAAGCCAGCCACTCACATTTTAGGTTACAATACCCTGCAAAGCCAAGCCATGTGGTGAGTTTATGGCCCACCTGCAGGGGCTTCACAATTTATTCCAACCCCCCTCCCACTAAAATGTGGTTCAGTGGCTAAGACACTGAGCTTGTCGATCAGAAAGGTCGGCAGTTCGGCGGTTCGAATCCCTAATACAGGTCTGCTGCGTGAGCAGGGGGTTGGACTAGATGACCTCCAAGGTCCCTTCCGGCTCTGTTACTGTTACTGGAGTTGGGTTATTGTGGGACCCTTTTCATAGTACGCTCTGCATTTTGCTAAACCCGGTTCCGTATACTGTGTTAATCCAACCGACATATAAGGGAAACTCAGAAAACTGACTTAATTCAGCACCAAGGGACACACACACACACACACACAACCCCTTTCCATAACCGGTTGAATTGACAGGTAGGTAAAAGGAAAAGGAGGAAAGAAGGAAGCGGGCAACTATGTTTCTTTTACAAGATCACGTCGGGCCGCCCAATTCCAGAGTCCGAAATCTCCGAACACGCGTCTCTCGTTCCAAACGTGTGAATCCAGCGCTGGGCCAATTCCTCCCCGCTCAGCGGTCCCAGAAGCCTGTGGCCGCGGCTGAGGGCGAGGGAAGAAGTCCCGCCGAGCGCTTTGAAGGGCGGGCGCCGGGGAGGAGCCGCCCAGCTCCGAAGCGAATGGAAAAGATCCGGCAGGAACTCCGCGGCCGGGAGAAGAAGTTGGAGCGCCCGAGGTCGCGGGGAGTACCGTCGGCGAACAGACACACCGCCCAGGTAAGAGCCAGGAGAGGCTAATCCTGTCAGGCCGAACTCGGATAAAGGGGAGAAAAGCCCACTCGCGTCCGCGTCTTTCCCCCACTTTGGCAAGGCGGCGTCTCCCGGCTCAGTCTCATCCAAGCGATGGATGGTGCGTTTCCCCCACGGACGGCTTTCTATTCCCACGCGCTTTTTTTCTTCCTCCTCTCCAGCCACAACAACCCGGTAAGGTAGGCTTAGGTTCAGAGAGAAGGCGAAAGCTTTCGGGGCTGAATGGAAATGGAGGGAAAGTCCAGCAGCCGCTTTTGCCTCCGACGCTCGTCTCCTGGCGGGAAACCGCGACGCGCGGTTTCTGGTTGTGGGAACGGAGACGCGAAGCAAATTTGGGAGTCAATGGGGGGGGGATGAGGAGGTTCGGGGGGGGGCATCGGCGCTATGGGTCTCTTTTGAGGAAGGGGAGAGTGCCAGGAAGGCAGTTAAAATTTCTTGGAAAAATGTATTTTTTCTTCCTGGGTTTCATCTGGAAAGAAAGATACTCAGTGGTCCATGACAGCTATAGGCTGACGTTGTGGGCGTCTAAGTGTGTATTTATTTATTTATTTATTCATTTATGGGTGTTAAGGTGTCCTGCTTTCTTCTCAGCCGTGAAGGAGTTTTCCCCATCTGCTGCGTTCCAGCAGGTCCTTTTGACTTCACCCTTTCACCAACAACTCTGAAATGTACTGGTGGTCTCCTATCCAAGAGCTAAAACTAAGTTTGCCCCTGCCCAACTTTCAATCCTAGGCTACTTTTTCATTCAGATACATCGGACCGAGAAAAGGGTGACTTGAGGGCCTCTCTCTCTCAGCCGTAGGACGAAGCCAAAGGCAAACCGCTGCCGAAATCTTGCCAAGAAAATTGAAAGGTCTTGAAGATGGCCAGAAGTCAGTGTTAGCTTGAAGGCACACCCACTCTTTGTACTGGTGAAGATAGTCCTCGAGTTACGATCGCAATTGAGCCCAAAAAATTTAATGTCGCTAAGTGAGAAATGTGTGAAGTGAGTTTCACACCGTTTTACGACTTTTCTTGCCACTGTTGTTAAGGGAATCAGTGCAGATGTTAAATTAGTAACACGGTTGTTAAGTGAATCTGGCTTCCCCACTGACTTTGCTTTGTCAGAAGGTCACAAAAGGGAATCATGTGACCCCGGGACACTATGACCGTCATAAATATGAATCAGTTGTCAGACATCCGAATGTAAATCACATTACCATTTTTCACACTTATGCTGCAATGGTCATAAGTGTGAAAAATGGTCATAAATTACTTTTTCCAGTGCCATGGTAACTTTGTGCCATTGTAACTCAGGATCTAACCAAACTATAATTCTTTGAGAAACAAAGGTTCCATTGCCAAGATTTTGTATATGTCATAGTAAAGCTATTAGGAATGGACCATCTCAGTTCCTGGATACACTTGGGAATGAGTTTGAACTGTCCCAAAGGACTTGTGGGGAAATAGATCTCTGTTTTCATCTTGAGGTCATCTATCCTCTTAGACTGCAGCCTTGTAATCTCAATAGCCTAGTTACCAGACCTACTGAACACTTTGCAAATGATTTCATAAAATGTGGATATCCTAACAGTCGATCTTGGATGAGGTAGATCTTTGGCTAAGTCATGAAAGATACTGTAGAGTCTTGTTTTCCTATCCTAAAAGCTGGGAATTTACAACTTGGTGCCTTCCAGGTGCACTGAGACTGAAACTCCAAATTTTCAGAATTGAGCAAAGCCTATTTTAATTTCTGGAAGATGTTCTCTAAACAGATCTGAAGAACACCAGGCCAAGAGAGACTAGGTAAAATGATTAGTTTAGAACTAAGAGAACCCAGCCTTCCCTCAGGATAATTTCCTAAACGGTGTTAATTATTGCATATAAACTGCCTCAAACACTTTGGAGGTAGGACTAAATAAATATATTTTGTTGATGTCGTGAGATTGCCTCCCAATACTGAAACGTCCTGGAGATAAACCTGGACCCAGATTTAATTCAAACACAGTAATATGACCTGATAATTGTTTTTTTCAAAAAAAACCATGCTACATTCAGAAATTTACAATCCCCTAAGCGTTACTATTACTATTAATCTTCCCATCGTTCCTATCACCCATCTCCTCCCACTTATGACTGCATGACTGTAACTTTGTTGTTTGTATCCTGACGATTTATCCTTATTGTTTCCTAGTATGATTTGATTGCTTATTTGTTCCCTATGACTATCATTAAGTGTTGTATCTTTTTATTCTTGATGATTGTATATATTCTCCTTATGTACACTGAGAGCATATATAATCAAAGACAAATTCCTTGTGTGTCCAATCACACTTGGCCAATAAAGAATTCTGTTTTGTTTTGTTTTGTTTTGTTTTTTTTTGTTTTTTTTCGTTTCGTTTCCTTTCCTTTCCTTTCCTTTCCTTTCCTTCCTTTCCTTTCCTTTTGTTCTGTTCTGTCCTGTCTGTTCTGTTCTGTTCTGTTCTATTTTCTATTCTATTCTATTCTATTCTATTCTATTCTATTCTATTCTATTCTATTCTATTCTATTCTATTCTATTCTATTCTATTCTATTCTATTCATCTCAATAGTCCTACAGACACAGGTGTATTGAAGATGTACTGTAGTGCCATATCTAGATTCAATCCCCTCCATCCTGGTTTAGCAGTATGTCACCATCTTGATACAAATCTACATTTTTCATCCACGCTGCAGAGAAGAATGCTAACCTGATCTTCCTTTTGTGGTGGAGAAATAGAATTCTGTGTAGTTTTTCTGTCTGGTATCCTCTATCTGGTATCTTCAGCTCCAATTTCCAAATGGAGCCTATTACGCTCTTATCTGCGCTGCCTCTCTCTGACCCCAAACTTGGCTTTTTATATACATATGCCTCTGGAAGATTGGGAGCTTCTGCTGATGCTGTTCTTCATATTCTTTTGCACAATCGGCGGGAAAGTTTGTTAGCAAGCGGCTCTGTGCTTTTCTGATCTTTTGGAACTCTCACATTGTAGAAACATCCCAAGGGGAGGAAGCGCATGGGAATATTGGTGGCTCAGAAAGAACCTAAGGACTTTGGTTACAAAAAGTCTTTAAGTTCAGCTTTGATATCTCCCGACAGAAAAAAGCTGATTTTAGGGATTGCTTGCCAATTAGTATGAGTGAGAGGTGAATAGAAGCTTTTTCGTTGTTCAGTGACTAAGTCTTGTCCGATTCTTCGCAACCCCGTGGACCACAACTTGCCAGGATTCACATAATTTACCTACCAATTCGCCCAGCACTGAAAATGTGAGAGAGAGCACCCACCTCCTCGCAAGTGCATGGCCTTCCGTGCATGTGCTTTGCTTGCACCTGTGGTTTCCACGCATGCGCACTGATAGAAAACATGGCTAAATAGACATAGCGCCAGGGCGGGTGGGCAAATCGCTACTACCAGTTCGCCCGAACTGGTCTGAACCGGTTGAATACCACTTCTGATGCCAGCCCCCCCTCCGCCTGCCACTCTCTGACAGAGTTTGCCCGAATTCATGTTCATTAAATCAATGATATTATAACCATCACATCCTCTGCCATCTCCTTCTCCTTTTGCCTTCCATCTTTCCCGACTTTGGTGTCTTCTCCAAAGAGTCCTTTCTTCTCGTTTGGTGGCCAAAGTATTTGAGCTTCAGCTTCAGTATCAGTCCACCCAAAGAACCATTATGGCTGACTTCCTTTAGGATTAAGTGACCTGTTTGTCTTGCAGTCCAAGTGACTCTTTAGAATCTTCTCCAACACCACAGTTCGAAAGCATCAATTCTTTGCTTCCCAGGCTTCCTTATGGTCCAACTCTCACAATCATTCATTATTACTGAGGAAACCCATAGCTTTAACTACTGCATAGAACAAAAGCGTATTAGTCTTTTTAAAATTGATTTTGTGCCATCAAATCATTTTTGATCCTTAGCAATTGCATAGGTAGATTTTCTCTGTTTTGATCTAGCCCATGAGTCAGCAACCCATGGCTCAGGAGCCGGATGCGGCTCTTTCTTCTCTCTGCTGCAGCTCCCTGTTGCTGGTCAGCTCCACAATTGATAGGGCTTTCGGTTGGGACAGGTAGAGGAAAAAGGATGCCGCGCTAGGAGGAAACTCTATGGTGGGAGAACTGGATTTCCGTTCAGCTGAGGAAAAAGGATGTTGCGCTAGGAGAATACTATGATGGGGAAACCGGACTTCCGGTCGGCTCCAGAATTGAACGGGCACTTCTGGTTAGGACCTTTGTGGTTCTTTGAGTGTTTAAGGTTACCGATCTCTGATCTAGGCCTAACATGATAGGTCTTCTTTCAGGTGTTCCAAGGTGCAATCTTGCCATTGTAACTGCACCCGTCCATCTTGCTGTTGGTCATCCTCAGGGGTGGGATTCACTTACCTTCTCTATCGGTTCTCAAATGTGAGCACGCACCTTCCGAGGGCCTTCCGCGCATGTGCAGAGCATCAAAAATGTGGATAAATGGGACGTGATTACGTCGGGGCGGGTGGGCGGAGCTACCCGCAGCCGCCACTACCGGTTTGCCCGAACTGGATAGAACCAGCTGAATACCACCACTGATACCACATTATCCTCTTCTCCTCATTCCTTCCACCATTACCAGCATTAGAGCCTTGTTTTTGTTTTACTCCATGTCCTGAAATATATTAACCAGAACTATGCAAAATGATGGCTCAGGTGGGAGAACATAAATGAAGGACACTTCCACACAGTTACTGGATGTATCCATGTAACCCCAACAGCACTGATGAAATGCTCAGTTCTCCATATTGCTAGATAGCAGGTCCTTCAAAGGAACAATACAAACCCACAAAAATGTAGTGGATGGCACTCTGCCAGCATTTGGCTTCCCCGAGGCACTGCTTTAAATATATATCTGGATTCTGAGAACCTCTCCCTGAGACCAAAGTCCACTGCCTACTACTACTACGGTAAGGAGAATGTATTTCCTGGGACATTGCTTTT